TTGCTCCGACAAGTTAGACAAGATACCCCGCGAGATACTGTGTCAGTAATGTACTCCATAGAGTCGACCATCATCGCCATTGCGAGTTACCTGTGGTATGCTCATGCCGGTAAAGCAGAGGATGCTCGATAGAAAACTGGAAAGGAACTAGAACGGAGCCGTTCCTATTGGATTGCTCGCGGATGTACGTACCATGAACAAAGTTCAACAACGGTCCCCCTTTGCCCCTTTCAGGATCTGCTCGACGAAACACTCAATGGCCAGATAAACAACCAATGACCATACTCCGAGTAGTCTACAAGGTGGTAAATAACCACGAGAAACACACCCACATCTGGAATGGAGCTACGACCGGAATGATCGATAACGAGGTGGAAAAGATCGGTATGCACGGAGGATTTTGCCCTATTTGCCCCTCCCTTTCTTCCCCTCCCCCTCCGGGTCCATGCGCGTGTTGATCGGAGACCGCATGTCTCTGATAGTATTGCGAGTATGTAGATAGGTAGGTACGTCGAGCTCGAGAGACCTGCCTCGAAGAATCCAGATACGAAGTACCTATGTACACCGACTGTTGCGCTGTCGCAGTTAGGGCTACGACGCGGACCCAACACATGCACTACGCGCTTTAACTCGTTAGTCTATCGACCTTGCCTGCCTACCAGCATCCGCGCAGGCAAGGTCGCGCATGCGCCTACCAATCCGATGACGCCGTGGGCGTTACTGGGTCGGACCGCTGCAGGGCCGGCAAGTGGACCAAGACAGTATTTCTTCCTTTCCTCATGTTGAATGGAAGGGAAATGGTCGTCGCAAGGAACAGAAGCTAATCCTGCTAGGATTGGAACCTTCGACCCAATGCGGTAAGTACCGACGGCCTGAATGGGCGAGGAGGAAGAGAAGAGAGAAAATTCGAGAGGCTGGACGTGTGAGAGAGGATAGGGGCCGAGGTGGATGTGGATTCTTCTCAAAAGCGTAAGCTCGCCGACTCACCGCTCTCTCGCATCCCCTGGCAGATCAAAGCGGTGAGGTGGTCTTGCAGCTGAGGAAGACCTGGACCTGGCCGAGTGGGTTGACTGACGTCGCGTCGTCGGGACCAGGACGATGGCGGACGGACTAGCCGGGTATCTCGGTTGGGCGCGTCTGTTCGACATACCTGGACGGGATGAGGGAGTACAAACAAGGCAGTCGAACGGAGGGAGCCATTTCGGGTGCTACCGGTCGGATAGAAGATGATTGTCTGGATAATGAAGTTGTCAGGGTGCTCACGGATTGACCTGCAAACGAGGAGAGAAGGGAGAGTTGCTGAATGAGAAGAGAGCCATCCGAGGTCATGTGGGTTACCCTAGTAACTAACCGTGTCTGAGTCTGACGGGTTCTTCGGGGTCCATCAGACGCCCCACCGTGTCCTCCGGTTTGTACGCCCACCTAACGGTAGGTCCCTTCAGCGATCTGAAGAACAGCGATGCTGTTCACGACGCCTTCCGGGTTATCAAATTGCATCGATCACGGCCACCGCGAGTCTATCGAGCATTTCATGATCGGGGACTTACTTGACCGGCAAGACATCAAAGCAGCCGTCACACATCGAGAATCAGACCACCCCAAACGAAGCAAGGAACGAAGCGAAAATCAATCCGTGACCACACTAACAGCATCCATCTGACCTGAGGGCATATGTAATCGCAGGTCCAGTGTGGATCCTCTCGCTCGGTGGAGGACACGGAACGAGGGCGCGTCTCCGAGTGAGGCTGGTTGACGCGCGACTGCGATTGCTGGGAGGAGCGCTGCGGGCAGACATGGGAGCGCCGATACTGGACGCTTTAGGCACTGCCCCGCTGCGAGATTCCCATGCCACTTATGCAGAGGGGTGGATGGGATGGCCCGGCTGATGCGTCGCTCAGGCGGGCGACGGTCGGTACTAGTCGCGTTGGATTCTTACCCAAACCAGTAGCCGTGATGGCATTGGATCCGTTCCATCTGGTGATGATGCAGGCTTGCGTCCAGCCTAAGTGGCCCCCCTATTTTTGTTTTCTGGTAGCCTAAGCCCTGTGCCTTCAGCTTGCTCTCAGCTGCAGCCAGGTTGCTGTCTTCTCCGGCGAATCCACCCTGCCTTTGTCGATAGATGGTTGTCGCCACGGATGTGTAGGAAGTTAATTCGAAAAAAGAAGATTGGAACGACAGGACCTGCATCCAACTTTTAGGATGAGCTGTCAGCGCCGTTGTCTGGTTGGAGGGAGTACAACCGGGATTAGCAGCGCTGACCAAGCCACGACAGAATGCAATGGCATGGCCAAGACCGAAGCGTCCAAGACATGATGATTCTCCAAAGGCCAAGGACAAAGTACGAGACAAAGACGCCCCAAATTTAGATAGAGATAGTCTGGTTTTACTGGTCGCGGTGGTGGATGATCTGTCCACGACGGAGGGATCGATATCGCATCATCACTATAGGACGAGGAATAACTCTGAGTATTCTCTAATGCTGCATGGGACGGGTGGCTTATCCAGCCAAGCATACTTTCTTCTTGTTCCTCCATTGCGACTATGGAGTATCGATGTAGAATGACTTGATGCTCTAGGGGTATCATCCTCTGTTGGTCTCTGGAGACAAGATGGCAGGTAAATCATTACATAAGAACGCGTCGCGATTAACTCTCGCCATGACGACCGATACGGGGAGTCTGGAACGATGAGGGACGGAGCTATGGGCCGATCCACTGGCTACTGTACGGAGTAGTTGAGGGATGATCGATGTGCGCTCTGCCAAACAGCCGGGGCAGGAAAACACGGAAGGAGGGGTCAATGGTGGGTTCGGAGGGGAGGGGGGCAAATGACTTGGATGACGAGGATTTTACCGAGGGCCATGGTGGCGGAGGGAAAAGGAAAGGGAGACGAGAGCCAACCCCCTTTGATGAAGGAATGGATCTCTGGGAAGAAATGATCGTCCACCGCAAAAATGATAACAAAGAATGATCGATAGGAAGGAAAATTGAAAAATGATAGTTGAGATGGAGGAATGATAGTAGGAGAAGAATTCGTGGTGGAAATGAAAGGAGCAAACACACGAATCATGTTGACAGCCTTTGGTTCCGTGGAATTTGACGCCGTCGCATCCTTGTTGGAGGGTTGGAGGGGCAAGGGGGGACGAGGGGTCAAAAAAATAAAAAAAATAAAGAAAACCGAAGAAATGATTATCAAACAGAAAATGATCCCTACTACTGTAGAATCCGGAGGGTTGTGCGTGTGATTGATATTGTTTCTGAATAATAATCGATAGCCCTCTCTCTAGTTACTGCAATTTCCATTACCTGATCAGGCAGTGTTCCCAGGCCACAGATGGTTCCATGGGTCTGGCGGAACCCCGCAACCACTGTTCTGCAGTGCCCGAGAGGGATGAACGATAGGGATGACGAAGGATTGCCGACCAAGACAAGTCTGATTATCACCCGTCCGGAGTATACTTCCTGGATGTATGCTGGTGATGGGATCGTACGTACATACTCCGGAGTTTTCTCAGGGTTCTTTGATATGAGAAGAACAAGGTTACATACCCATACCAACTCGACCCACCCGGAGAAAGGATTGATATGGAGCATGATCCGAAAGAGTGCTCTGTCTTCATCCAACGCATCACGATCCAAGAGGTGAGCGAGGGGGGTTAACGGAAGCAGGGATGAGGAACTATTCGATGGCGGGCCAACCCTAGGGTCAAAAAATAAAACATCGAATTTTGTGGGTATAGGTATAAGACAGATAATTTGACCGGGAGATACATGCATATCTACACGGACAACCGAAGATGTTGCCGTCCAATCCGAGACCGAGCAGCAATTTTCTTTTGTGATTTATTTTCCACATTGGGTGGGGGGCTTGATTCGATCTTGATCTGGCATGAAGAAGCAGAAGAATACGGTGTAGATGGATGATCGATATTGGTACTTTTTGTGCCTTAGCCTGTCATGGTATTAACAATTGTTAGCTTGGACACTAACAATAATACATAATCATGACGCTTTTGAGGGTACCTAGTCGCCTAAGTACCTACTCCGTAGTGGATACAGCAAACCGACTTTTAAATGGCCGATTCGCGAATCTTGAAAGACCCCGGGTGAACCGGATTGACGGGTTGGCAAGAAGTGGACAAGTCTAGGTATCCATGTGGGCTGGGGCGTTTCTTCCCAGCCGGATTGCAGGGACAAGAACAAGACTAGGTGATAGTAATAATAATATTAATAAATAATAGAAGAAAATACAATACAGTAGAAAAGATTGGGTTTAATGAAGAGGATTACGATGCGATGGATGAAGAACTAAACCACAGAGGGGTTAGTCAGAGCGCCCATCATTGGCGGTCGGGGCAATAGCCGCCCCAGTGCGTGGCCGAAGATATTTCCCCCTCCGTCAGTCCCGCCGAGTTGCAGCCCCTCCTTTCCGTTGCTGTGCTGGACACAACGCGCCCGCCTCACTACGATCTTCGGTCCACGACCTGGCGCGCCTTGCCCACACTCCCCTCCCTTTTTCCTTTCTTTCTTCCCTCGTCTTGCCTGCCCTCTTTCTTCCCTTTCTCCTCATCCCCCATTCAACATCCTCCCCCTCTTTCTTACCATCCCCTCCTCTTCTTCCTCCCTCCTCCTCCCTCTCCTCTTCCTTTCGTCTTTCCCCATCTTTTCATCTTCATCTACATTCAACATCGATCTTTTTCTTCCTGGGTGGTTGATTCACTGTCCCTTTATCCTCCTAATCGGCAAAGCCACTCCTCGTTTTCGCCCTCCCCCCGTCCGCCTGTGGCTGGACCCCCCCCGTCTCTCATCGTCTACTCTCCACGCGATTCTCCCCCGCCCAAGGAATGATCAGACATCAAACTGAATTCTTGACATCTACCCGTCTTCAGAACCGGTGCGAAGTCACGAAAGGCACGATACCGCCGTCTTTTTCTCCCTCGTCTCTCTGATCCGAGAAGAAAAGAAAGCGTCGCCCTGCCTTCGTCGCACTCGCCCGAAGACATGGCTCCCAACGCTCCCAGCCAGGCCACCAACTCTCCGGCCAAAAAGACCTCTGCCCCAGAGAAGAAATATAAATGCCAATTTTGCAATCGTGCCTTCAGCCGCAGTGAACACCGCAGCCGACACGAACGTTCGCGTGAGTAGCATCTCTCCTCCTATCTTTGCGCCGGGGACTGCGCGTGGACTTCCTTCCGGCCCCTCTACATGGCCGATGGACCTTGAGTACGACGCTAACATCTGACCTGTAGATACCAAGGAACGACCCTTTAAGTGCCTCAAATGCCGCAGTACCTTTGTTCGTCGAGATCTGCTTCTCCGTCATGACCGTACCGTTCACGCCAAGGATGGTGGCATTCCTCTAGTTTCCGAGGGCCGCCGTCGTGGCGGCGCAGGTGTTCAGAAGCCCTCTCCTGCACCTGCACCCTCCAAGCCCTCCATTACAATCGATCCTGCTACGTTGGAGCAAATCGAGCAAAGCAGTGACGGTATGGTCGATCTTGAAACGGCAGCCATGTTGATGACAGATTTCCAACATAAAGCCGCAGCCGCCGCTACGAGTCAGGTCCATGATCGCGCGGAGTCGGATCGCTCCTTTTCTCCTGGACGCGGTTCCCTCCTGGATCCTCCCGTTTCGTACCTGTCGGGCAATGCGACTCTCCCTCAGATGCCGTGGGATTCCCTCGTGTCTCCAGCCGATACCAAGCACTTCATGTCCCATGGTACCGACTCGCATCTGCCCATGATGGACCGACATCCCAGTGACGCTCTGGCCCCGTCGCTGCATTCCCTAGTCAACTCGCTGCCTCCATCTGGAAACTCGACGCCAAACGCTTTGTCGCCGTACCCCCCGATGACCGGCCCCGTCAGCCCCGTGAACTACCGGAAGTCGCCGGGCCCCAGCCAGGCCCTGACTCTCCCCAAGGCGCCTCAAATCGCCAACGATATCGAGCGGAACATGGTCGTGGAACGCATTCGTCATGCCGATGCCCTGGGATCGCTGCCGGACTCCTTCCAGCTTCCGTCGACCCCGGCGTTGAACAAGTACCTCTCCACGTACTTCAACTTGTACCATCACCACCTCCCGTTCCTGCACCAGCAGTCCTTCAAGCCCGCGATGACCTCGCCGCCCCTGTTGCTGGCTGTTCTTTCGATCGGTGCCCTGTATGCGTTCGAGAGACAGGATGCTTTTATGCTCCATGTGGGATCAAAGATGCTTGTCAACCAGTTCCTGCAACACAAGGATAACTTCGACTCTCGGAAGTGTCCTTTGTGGGCCATGCAGAGCACCCTCCTGAACATGATCTTTGAGAGCTGGAGTGGTGACCCGAAGGGTCTTGAGTGGACTTGCTCTATTAAGAGTCTCCTCGCCAATGTAAGTTCACCACCAACCCCTTAAATTAACACGTCTGATCTTAGTGTCTAACTATTGTGCAGATGGTTGCTGGAAACCGCTATCAATTTAAGGTGCGTACGGAAGCTCGCGAGGGCGCTCAGCCGTCTCGCGAGGAGTGGATTGAGGACGAGTCATGCCGTCGCACTTATTACGCCGTGTACATTTTCTTCGGCATGCTCACCTTGACCTTCAACCACACTCCGGCTATGAGCTTCGATGAGTTCGATAACCTGGAGCTTCCGTCTTCCGAGTCTTTGTGGAATCTCGATGTTACAGACGACGAGGCCTGGCGCCGCAGCCTCTCGTCCGCCACCACTCTCACAGTTCGTGAGGCCCACGATTGTCTCTTCCAGGGGGAGCAGACCCGCTACAGCGCGTTTGCAACTCGCGTTCTGATCAACGCCTTGTTCCTTCAAGTGTGGAGCCATAAGAGAAGCTTCGAGGCCCTCCAGGATGTCGTCACCGAATACAAGCTTCGTCTGGCGTTGGAGACCTGGGAAAACTCGCTCGAAGTCTGCGAACCGGAGACGATTGTGGTTCCACTCAGTACGCCCCAGAAGGGACATCCCCTGATCTTCAACTCGATGGCGGTCTACCGGAACACTCGTGCTCGCCTGGAGGTAGATCTGAAGTCGATCCAGGAAGCTCTGCGCTATCACTCTCCCTACGAAGTCGCCGCAGCTATGACCGTGGCGCGGGAGAAGGTGAAGCGCTCGCAGGAAATGAACAAGGTCATCCAGTCCTGCTTTGAGTGTATCGAAATCGCCGCCGTCCAGGGCATCAACTGGGTCGCCAAAACATCCGCCACCAACTGGAGTGTTGAGCACCCGCTCTGCGGCTTGGACCTGATGGTCATCCTGAGTCTCTGGCTCTATCGCCTGGAACATGACGAAGAGCCCGCGTCGGAGGCTGAGCTGGCTATCTACAACAAGGTTCGGAATTTGTTTGATGACGATGCTGTCGACGCCTTTGGTAAACTCAGCTCCACCGTGGCCCGTGTATGGGGTAACATCCTAGACGGTGTGGTAGTGTGGGGGTAAGTCATCCGAATCAATCATACATAGGATCCGATGCTAACTGGACTTCCAGCATTACTAAGCTCATGGGCGAGTCGTTCAAACTTCATTCCCAGGCTCTGATCGGCTACGAAGATTCGCTGCTGCGGGTGGCCAAGGATCAACCCATCCACCCGATGCCGGCGAAGACACTTGCGAGTGTCGGGACTGCGTACTAGATTTGAGTATGCTAGAGTCCCAGTCGATCATTCCATCTTCGCGCATTCATTTGGACTATGATATTCTGACGTCCGTACTCGGACGTTTGTTCCACGTGGCCCCCCCTTTTTTTTACTTTACTTTCATACACTCGTTTTGATCTATCAGTTGGGACACTGGCGGGAATTTCGGATTTATCGGCAGAGCGGGAGCAGGCAGGTTGGCGGCAATGGAGCGCTATGATCTGAACCGCCACAGAACCTGCTGAAACTCCCAAGGTTTTGTTTTTGTCTTTTTGGTCTTTCCTTGCATTTTTGCTATTCCTGCTGGTTTCTTTTTGCAAGAGCTCACAGGAGTCCGGTGTGGTCATTTCTCTGTTTTTCATGGGCAGCTTTCCCAGCAACATCTCGACACCCGGCTGGTCCTGTGTGTTCTTCACTTTTAGCACTCGGTGGAGTTGTTGTTTCTTGCCTTTTGCTCACTCGACCCCTACATAATACTTAGTGCTTTCTTTCGATTCTGCACATCAGCGTGCTTGGTCACATTTCCCGTCGATTTTTGTCCCTGGCCATTTGATACCTTTGTCGTTTATTTTCTTCTACCTAACTATTCGAGTTCTCTTCTGCCATTCCTTCTCATCTACTTTTTTATTACTTTTTTCATTTTGCATCTGATTTAATGTGAGTTAGAATCGTTTGATGTGTTTATGTTTATGCCCGTCTCCGCCTGTTTTCTCCCCTCTTGTTGTGCATTGTTTGTTGCATGTTTTGTTTTGTTTTGTTTCGATGCTCGATCTTGGTTATTGCGATGTCTGTTTGCGTTGTAGTACCCTGTACTATATAATCTGGCAATATACGTGATTGACGGGCATCTTGGTTCTACTCGTAGTACCTAGTAGCGAACGTAAGGTAGTCGGTGAAGGTAAGTAGCCGGTAAGCCAATTCATAGATCAAGTATTATATTGAGTATGTGTGTGTATCTCTATCTAGTCATTATACAAGTATATATGCCTGACCGCACGATCGATGTTCATGCGTTCGACTGTCCAAGACATCAAGTACAGATCGGGTCCACGAACCCCCTCGTCCAGCCAAGTGACCCAGCAATGACGACAAAAAAGCCCAGTCCCACGGCGATACTCACCACCCCGTAAAAGTACGCTTGTCGCCGGCGACTCAGTCCATTTAACTCGGCAACCCACGTACTCACAGTAGTGGACGTCCCACAGAACCCGTCCTGGACGCCCTCTAGGACCTGACAACTCGTCAAGACGGTCGCCCCAATGTCCGCGACGCGCTGCAGATCAAAGCACATGGCCAGGATGATGGTCCCGAAGACGTTGACGGCGAACGTACCCAGCGGGAAACTGGGGATGCGGGCATTGAGCGCCAGCGACACGTAGTAGCGCAGGAGACAGCCCAGCGGGGCGAAGACGACAGCGAAGACGGCGCGGCCGCGCCAGTGCTCGGGGCTCGCGTCGTGACGATCGGGCGGCCAGATGGCTAGGAAGACGGCGCCGAGCCAGCAGCCTCAGCCGAGGAGGACGAAGAGCGGGTCGAGGACGCGGCGGGCGAAGCGGAAGGGCACGGACGGGGTGAGCGGGTCGAGGGCGAGGGCAAGATGGGCGCCGAAGATGAGCGCCGCGAGACTGAGCGCGACGGTGGTGAGGATGACGGCCAGCAGGGCCATGAAGCTGTAGCTCGTCATTGCGCGGGGGGGATGGGAGAGGAAGGCGGTGGGATGGGGTGGGCCAGGTCGTTGGTCAGGGTCGAGAAAGACGTCGCGGATGAATGGAGGAAAAGGAGGTGAAGCTACTACAGAAGTCTGGTGGTGGAGGTCTGATGTAGAGCGGGATGGGTCTT